TTTGTTAACTGTATTGTTATAGTTTTTGGACCTTTGCTAATAGCTTATAAAGCAAAAAATTTGTATTTTCATTATTTTATAAATATAAAGAGGACATAAAAATAACTAATTAATAATTATTTATAAAAATAAATAAAGATAAGAATAAAGAGCTTATAGTGTTTGCGCTTATTCTGCAATTGCATATTTTATAATGATTACAATAAAAGTAAAATGAATATAAAATTTATATAAATTTTTTAAAATTAATATATAAAAATATATTTAGGCTTTATTAATGTCACCTTTTATAGGAACATTTATTCAAACTGAAATTTATGATATTTATGATTTAACAAATGAAATTAAAAAGAATTTGTTTGGTATTATTGATTTAATTGGCTTATATTGTTTATTAAATTCTAAATAAATTTAAACGACAAATTTATACGGAAAAATATTGTCTACAGCTATTGGTTTGATATTTAATAATATTATAAAGTAATTTATTTTAATAGGATGGTCATTCATGGAATTCATAATGAATCATTTTTTCTATTTAATAACTAATTCGATGAGTATAATATATTATTTTATTCTAAATTATTTTTGATTTTATTATAAAATCAAAAAAATAGGTGAAGAGTTTAATTGGAAATATATAATTAGATCAGTTTCTTCAAACTTTGATTTTGTAAATAATATAAATAAATTAAAGCTTATTTTTTTTATATTATTTTTTGTTAAAGATTGAAAATATAAGTATTGTTAGTTTAATTATTTCTACTCATAAGAAATATTTGAATAATTAATTTATTAAAAATTTTATCAAAGTTTTTGTATTTTTTAAAATGTACTTATTACCAATTCTAATTAAGTAAACTATAAACTATCTACTTTTATTTACTTTAACTTTATTATTAATTATTTTAATAGATATGCAAGTTTTTAATAAGGATAATAAGATGAGTATAATTTAAAGATACTTGTAAACAAAGCTGGAATTTCTATAATTATGCTTCTATTTAGCAAATTGATGGGTGCTTTATGAAAAAAAATAATGACTTTATAATATGTATAAAAAAATATAAAAAATTATTTTTATTAAAAAAATAAAATAATATTTAAGAAATTAAAAAAAATATGAAAATTATATCATTTAAATAAAAGTAAAATTAAGATAAAATATTTATTAACAAAAATTTAAATTTTCATTAATAAAAATTATTTTAATAATAATATAAATAAAAAGAAATACTAAAAAATTATATATTTTAAAATAAAAATAATTGTTAATTATGGATTTATACGGATAATATTATTAAATAATAAATAAATATTAATTAAAATTTATATATTTTTATCCAATAATTAGAAAATTTTAATTTTTTATTTTAAAATAAACAAAAATAATATAATTCATATTAAAAAACATACTTTTATAAATATTAAAGATTTTAGAAAAATTTTAATAGAAAATTAAATTGATTAGTAAATTATTAGATAAATGTAATTATTAAATTAAAATTTTTAATATAAATAAATATAAATTTATAATATTTCTTTATAAAAATAAGTATCAATTGTAATGAACATAAAAAATAATTTTAAATTTTAAAAAAGTATATTCTAATATAGTTAAGTTTTAATTAGAAAAATTTTAATTATATGCTTTATATGCTATATATATATATATCTATATATATATTTATATTTTTAATAAATTTAAATTATAATTTTCTTTTAATTATAATAATTATTAAGTACGAAAATTACTTACAATATATATTTTTTTTTATTTAACAAAAATATGTGCTACTTACAGTATTTTAGCTTTAGCTATTATATAACCTAATTTATTTCCAAATATTTTTACTATAATTTTTTTTCAAGGAATGTTTAATAATTAATTATCAATAATATTACATATATTAATTTTAGTTGATATAGTTAGATTATATTAAACTTCTGAAACAAATTTCGATTTTTAACTTCATTGAATATGTTTGTTAGTTTAGTTTACAAAACATTATATTTAAGATTTATATTGTAGAAATTAAAATCAAATAAATAAATTTTTTTAATATAATATTAATTTTTTTTTAAATATAAATAATAATAAATTAAATTTTTATTTATCTTTAAGTTAAAAAAGATTATAATTAAAATATTTTTATTTTATATAAAATATATTTTTTAATTAGTATATATATATGAAATTTAACTATATTAAAAAACTATGACCGAAAATATTAAACAGAAATAATAAATTACTCTGAAACGAAATGTATATATTTTTTTTTTTTATCAATTATTAATAATTTTTATCAATTTTATATTCATTAATATAGATTTAAATATTCTTTTTTTAGTGTAGCATCTCATTACATATGGATCCAAAATACAAAATACAAATTAAAATGTAATTAAATATATAATGAATTCAGTAATTATTATAAAAAAGTAGAATTAAATTTAAAATAAAGAAAAATTTTTTATGGAATTTTTATTGCAATTGTAATATAAAAGAAATAAATTATTAAAAAAATATTTATGTTTTTTACTTCTATATTATATATAAAATCTGTCATTTAGTTTTTTTAACAAAATTATAAAACATATAATAAGAGTTTAATTTTTATAAAAAAAATATTGAAAATATAAAATAATTTACAAAAATATAATTCAAATGTTAAAAATTATGTCTCTTTTTTTATTAAAGCTTATTTACTCGACAAAAGTCATTATTTTCTAAAATAATTTGATATATCTTGTAAAAGGAGGATAATCTTTTTTAAAAATTTTGTGCATTTTTTTCGTGTTTATTTATATAAATTTATATTTTTAATATATTATTCACTACTACATAACCCTAAATATATATTTTATTCTTATATATTATTTAATTATTATCATATTTTTTGAAATTGTGTTACTTTCTTTTATTACTTTAAACTTGCATATATTTCAAGTTTTTTAAAAATAATTTTTAGATATTATCTATATAATAATAAATGATTCTTTAAATTATAATTTTATAAATATATATAAATAAAATTTTATAAATAATTCTTCTGATATGTTATATTATTAAATTAAAATTTAAAAATATTAATAATTATTTTAAATTATAATAATATAAAGATATACAATAGATAGAAACATACATTAGATAAAAAATAAAAATATATCTATATAACTTATAAATTACTATAATAAAGTAAATAATTTTTAAAAAAAAAATAGTAATTTTAATAAATAATAATAATTTTTTCAAATATAAAATTAAATTATTTCATTTATTACTTCTTTTGAGATTTTTTTAATTGATTTATAATAAACTCAATTATTCTTTTTCTTCTTCTAATTATTATAAATTAGAGAGTTAAGTAGATTTAACAGAAGCAAAAGCATTAATTTTTTAAACTATAATACTTTCATTAAAGTTTTTTGAAAAAGTTATATCTTTTTCTTTATAACATCCGGTTCCTACACATAAAACTAAATTAACAATTCTTCCTGGAAAATTTTTATAAGAAAAAGCTTGCCCAACGAATAAATGGTAAATATTAGAGGATTTATGTCTTATTCCATTATAGTTCAATACTCGAGGATTAGAACCTTAGAATTAGGTATAAATAAATGCTTTTTATAATAAATCAGAATACCCAAAATAGATAAGACACCATTTGCCTTCATCTTATTATTCGAAATTTATATTTTAAGCATAATTAACCTTTTAACTATTATAATCATAAGTTGGGAAATGCAAGATATTATTAATAACATAAAATGAGAGTGATCTATCTCCTAATACAGAATTATCTTAAAGTTTTTAATTTTAACTCAAAAAGAAACAATTAGTCCAATTAGATCTATTAATAGAAGGAGTAAGTCTAATCCACACTTAAATAGATTTTTCTATAGTACCTGGCTAAAATTTATTTTCATATTTTTAATAAGTACCAGCAGCAGGCCCATTATAATCTAAATCAAGATCTTCAGCTCCTACAATTTCTACTTTTTGAAATATTTTATTTTTAGGAACGTTATTCCATACTTAATCAAATCCATCTTCTCTATAGCATCCAGTTCCTACACATAAAACTAAATTAACAATTCTTCCTGGAAAATTTTTATAAGAAGAAGCTTGCCCAACGAATAAATGGTAAATATTAGAGGATTTATGTCTTATTCCATTATAGTTCAATACTCTAGGATTAGAACCTTAGAATTAGGTATAAATAAATGCTTTTTATAATAAATCAGAATACCCAAAATAGATAAGACACCATTTGCCTTCATCTTATTATTCGAAATTTATATTTTAAGCATAATTAACCTTTTAACTATTATAATCATAAGTTGGGAAATGCAAGATATTATTAATAACATAAAATGAGAGTGATCTATCTCCTAATACAGAATTATCTTAAAGTTTTTTATTTTAACTCAAAAAAAACAATTAGACCAATTAGATCTATTAATAAAAGGGGTAAGTCTAATCCACACTTAAATAGATTTTTCTATAGTACCTGGTTAAAATTTATTTTCATATTTTTAATAAGTACCAGCAGCAGGTCCATTATAATCTAAATCAAGATCTTCAGCACCTACAATTTCTACTTTTTAAAATATTTTAATTTTAGGAATGTTATTCCATACTTAATCAAATCCATCTTCTCTGTAGCATCCAGTTCCTCCACATAAAGCTAAATTAACAATTCTACCTGGAAAATTATTATATATAAAAGATTATCCTACAAATATACTGTAGATATTAGAATATGTATGAACAATTTTATTAAAATTTAAAATAGATTATTTTTATTAATTAAATTTTTATAAAACATATGATTTTTATAATTAAGGTGAATAAGCATGATATAGATAAAACCAAACATCTTCGTTTTTTTGTTCAAAATTAATATTTTAATATACATTATTATTTTTAGTTTTCAAATCATATGTAGCGAAATACAGAATATTATTAATTACAAAGAAAGCTAATGTTCTATCACCTGGTTTAGCCAAATTTTCTGGTTTTTAATTAGAATTTAAGTGATATCCTGTACTCCATTTTTATCTTCTTATATTTTTACTTAATTTAAACCATCCATAAATAGCGAATTCTTAAATTGTATTGAATTTATCTTTAAAAACTGTCACTTTTCCGCCGTTTTTTTTATATTCATCGTATTCTTTATCATCTAAGATTTATAATTATTTTTGTATGTTATCATCTTTAGTTTATTTTGGCTTTTCTTCAGATTTAGGTTAATTTAAAGGATTTACAGGTTAAGGTAAAGGGTCTACAGGTTGAGGTAAATTATCTACAGATTAAGGTAAAGAATCTACAGATTAAGTTAAAGAATCTACAGTTTAAGGTAAAGAATCTACAGGTTAAGATAAAGGATATACAGGTTAAGGTAAAGGATCTACAGATTAAGGTAAGGAATCTACAGGTTAAGATAAAGGATCTAAAGGTTAAGGTAAATGATCTACAGGTTAAGGTAAAGGATTTACAGATTAAGGTAAAGGATCTACAAGTTAAGGTAAAGGATCTACAGGTTAAGGTAAAGGATTTACAGGTTAAGGTAAAGGATCTACAGGTTAAGGTTAAGGTTAAGGTTAAGGTAAAGGTAAAGGATCTACAGGTTAAGGTAAAGGATTTACAGGTTAAGGTAAAGGATTTACAGGTTAAGGTAAAGGATCTACAGGTTAAGGTTAAGGTAAAGGATCTACAGGTTAAGGTTAAGGTAAAGGATCTACAGGTTAAGGTTAAGGTAAAGGATTTACAGGTTAAGGTAAAGGATCTACAGGTTAAGGTAAAGGATCTAAAGGTTAAGGTAAATGATCTACAGGTTAAGGTTAAGGTAATGGATCTATAGGCTAAGGTAAAGGATCTACAGGTTAAGGTAAAGGATTTACAGGTTAAGGTAAAGGATCTACAGGTTAAGGTTAAGGATCTACAGGTTAAGGTAAAGGATTTACAGGTTAAGGTAAAGGATCTACAGGTTAAGGTTAAGGTAAAGAATCTACAGTTTAAGGTAAAGAATCTACAGGTTAAGATAAAGGATATATAGGTTAAGGTTAAGGTAAAGGATCTACAGGTTAAGGTAAAGGATTTACAGGTTAAGGTAAAGGATTTACAGGTTAAGGTAAATGATCTACAGGTTAAGGTAAAGGATTTACAGACTAAGGATCTACAGGTTAAGGCAAAGGATTTACAGGGTTAGGAATGACAACAGTAATCGGTTTACTTTATTACCAAGTTTTTTCTTTATAACAATTAACGCCTCCACATAATACAAGGGAATTTATTTTTCCAGGAAACTTTGAATATGTGAAAGTTTATCCAACCCATAAAATATATTTCGTAGATTCTTAGTGCTGTATTTGATTTAAGTGGATAATACTGGGATCTTAATTTGGGAATTGTGCAAAGATATAGGCCTTTTATTTAATATCACTATAAGCATGATAAATAAGTTGCCATTTAGAAAGATTTTCTTCCATAATCGTAATTGTACTTAGTACAGCAGGGTTATTAGTAGCCAAGTCATATGTAGTGAAACTATAAACGTTCTATTGCATATGTAAAGCGAGTACTCTATCACCTACTTTAGCTTTATCTTCAGGAACTAAATTCTAATTGAGTTAATAAACAGCAGCATTATTTTAACGATTTGCTGATCTGGATACTCTAAACCAACCTTATAAGGAAAATTCTTAAATTCCTTTGAATTTATCTTCGTAGACTTGTTCAATCTGATTTTCTTCTAGGAAATTTTTTTCTTTGAAAAGAGTATATTATTGGTGCGTTTTCTAAAACGTTATCTATTCTTTTGCTTCTATTTCTACATCATCACCTTCTTAATCGAAATCTTGCTTTAAATTTTTTATGGTAAGCAGCTAGTTACTTTTATATCCAGATATAGTTTGGCCCTGTGCTAATCCTTGTAGCAATATGGTTGCTAATATTATAAAAATTAGTATATTTTTCATTTATTTTTGGTTTTAAAGAAAATAGTTTTTTTAATTGCCTTCCTTTATTGTTTTTTTGTAATTTTTTATTTAATTATTATATTTATAAAAGAAATAATAATAAAGCTTTATAATGAAAAATTTATAAAGCAAGCTTTTTTTAAAAAATATTTGATTTAATTGATTAGGCATGATTTTCAAATAAGATTTTAATTGTATTAGTTATATTTAAATTTAAACAATAATAATTTTTTTTTCTGTTTTAGACATAAATTTCATAAAACGATATTAAAATTATTTAATAATTTGATTATTTTTAAAAACGCTTCGTTTTAATATTTTATAATTATTTATATTTAAAAAAATTATTTTTAAATAAGATTAAAAAAAAAATCATCTAACGATATATTTAATAATCTTTATAATTATAATAAAATTATATTTCAGACAAAATTAAAATTTATAATATTTTTTTTATTAAAATATTTTTAAATTGATATTTTTTTTATATATTTTTAAATAATTAAAAATATAATATTTTTTAATAATAAATTTTTTAATATTTTAGAAATAAATAAATATTTATTTTTATTTAAATTCTATCAATATATGAAATATAGAAGATTTATGTAAAATTATGGATTACATAATTATATTATAGATTAAATATATAAAATTTATTATGCATATTTGTTTAATATAATAAAAAACTATTTATTTTTAAAATAATTTATTATTGTCATAATAATAATAATCATTATTATTCTTTATTTTTCTTCTAATAGATTTCTTCTATTTTTTATATATTATATATATGACATATTAAATATATATCAATATCAACAGTTTTTATATATATATATATTTATAAAATTATATAATGTAAAATATATATAATTTTATATTTATTTATAACTGTTATTTATATTTATTTATATAAATACTACTATCATTAATATTTTTATTTATTATATGTTATAATCTATATATAATTTTCATTTTTTTATGATACTATAAATAAAATTTAAACATACATACAAATAATAATATTTTTAATATACTTTTATTTTTTATATATCTAAAAGAAATAAATAAAATTATTATAGAAATAATAACATTTTATATTTTTTCAATATTAATTTTTTTTTTTTGATCTTTTAATAAAATCTTATAAACAAAATTAAGTATATATTATACATGTTTTTTTAAATAATATTTTTTTAACATGAATTATATATATATTAATTTATTTAATAAATTTTTACTTTTATAATTTATTTTTAATTTTATTATTTTACAATAATATATTTTTTTATTTAATATTTTATATTTTATATTTATTTATCAATTTTTTTTCTTTTTAATAATATTAAATTGATTAATTTTTTTATTTCCTAAAATTTATAATTAAATTATTTAATAAAATTATCTAACTATGATAAAATCAATCATCAATAGATTGATTTAAAATAATTTAATTTAAAAAAATACAAAATTTTATTTAATATATAATAAATTAAAATTTGTAAATAATATACAATATAATTTTAGCATTAAAAAATATAAAAAATAAAATATTTATTATATAATTATATAAAATATAATTTTTATTATTTAAAAAAATAAATTATTATATTTTTAAAAAATTGTATTTGAGTATCTACTTTTTTAATACAATTTTAAAAATTTATATAATTTAAAATGAAATTATATATATTTATTTATTTATATATTTTTTTCAATATTTTTAAGTTATGTAAAATAAGAAAAATATATAATAGAGAAATTAATAAATTTTTAACAAAAAGATTTATAAAAAATATGTAATTAAATAAAAAAATATAAAAACTCTTTAAGAAAAAAAAATATAAAGAAAAAACATTTAAAAGTAAGAAACTAAAATAAATAGAAAAATAAAAATGAATTAAATTTAAAATATTAAAATAAAAAAACAATACTCTAAAATTACCGAATAAGTCAAAAAATAATTTCTTTTCAAAATATTTTTCGAAAATAAATCTATCAAAAAATCTGCTGAAGAAGTTAATATTAATTATTCATCAGCTAAAATGATATTAAACCATTATAGAAAAAAATAAAGAACAGAAATATCTCAAAATGAAACAGATATAACTATATAAAAAGAAGATGATAAAACCTGTATTTATAGGAATTTTTTTAATGAAAATCAGCTTGTAAAAATAGATATATTTTCAACAATAGGAGGATAAAATTAAAACAAAATATAGGATATTGAAAACATTTAATACAAAGGAATTAAAAAAATTAAATTATGTCAATTTATAAACATAATAAATAAATATTTAAAAAATATTAACCTTAATAAAAAGAAATGGTTAATATTGAAAATTTAAAATACTATATTGAAATACTTCATAATTAATTATAATAAAATTGAGACTTATATTACAGTTTTGTTTAAAACAAAATTTATTGATAAATTAATTTGTGAAAAGGTATTAATTTAAAAATAAAAAAATTATATAAATTGAATAAATTATTATTATTTTTTTATTTAATATATAATAATTTTATTAATTTGTTTAACTTTGTAAAACACAAAATAAAAAATATTTTACTTTTTAATTTGCAATAGATTATATAAATAGAAAATAAATAAAAAAAAATCATAAATTAATAAAAATAAAAATATAAATATATAACAAAAAAATAAATATATTTTATTTAATAATATAAAATATATTTTATAATAGAAAAAAAATGCATTTAAATAAATAAAAGTAAAATAAAATATTTAATATAATTAATTTTATAATTAATAAATATTTATATAAAAAATATATTTAAATATATAATAAATTAAATGTTATTATATTTAAAGAAATAAAACAATTATAAATATAATAATTTTTTTTATATTATATTATATGCATTATTTTTTTATAAATATAATATTTATCTTTAATAATATTAATAATAATAAAAAAAAATTTTAAAAAATATATATTAATTAATTTTATAATTATTTTAATAAAATAAATTAAATAGATTATTTAATATTTTTATAAATATATATATATATATATATATATATATATATATATATATTTATTTATACATATATATATTATATTAATTTTTTTTTTTTTATAATGACATTTTTAGATATATTGTATTATTAAAAACATTATATTTTGCTTGATTTTTTTATTAGATATTCTTTTTATTTTTAAATAAAAAGAATAATTTTTTCTAATATATGAATTCATTTTAAATTAATTATACAATTTTCTATTTTTTTTTTTTTCAATATATATTTAATTTTTTAACTTTTTACCTTTTTTTTTTCTAAAATATCATTATTTATTTTTTAATTTTTTTATTTTTAAATACTTAATATCAAATTAATTATGTTATATAATTATAAAATTTCTTTTTACTTATTTTTATATTTTTTTTATTTTACATAAATTTACAACTTAATATTATTTTTAATTATCAATTATTATTTTTAACAATGTATTCTATTATAATTGAATTTGTTTAATGTTTTTAATTTTTTAAAAGGCTATTAATTACAACATAATTAAAACAAACATTTTATATTCTCGAATTTATTTTAATTAGTTCAATCTCATATGTTCTAAATTATTATTTAAAAAAAAAAATATTTACATATATATTATTATTTTTATTCTTCAAATTCTTTTTTGAACATTAATTATATACCTTTAAATATGCTTTAAATTATTTGAAACTCTATCAAACTCCATAAATTAATATTCGATTTATCTGATAAAAGCAAAATTAAACTATCGCACTTGAAGACTTAATCTATAACTAAAAATTTGTCTAGATTTTTATTTATAACAAAATATATCTCATATTTTTAGTAAAAGAAGCCTAGTATGCCTAGTTCTTTACTATTAAAATAAAAAAAATGAACAGAATCTGAAGAAACCAAAGCAGAATAAGTGTTTAAGAAAATAACTTTTTTAACTCGTAATGAAAATTAGCCGTTGATAAAGTTTCTTACGTATAATTATTCTAATTAGAAATATAAATTAAAATAATTTGCTGCACTAGTAAAAAGTTCTTAATCTTGCTTCAAAGCCTGTGCATTTACACAATTTTTATGTTATTTTTATTTATATTTACAATTATTCGATTAATTTTAACTTTCTTCATGATGAATTAAAATAGATTTCTTTTCTCCCACTACTTATGAGCCTTCAACTATCATTATTTTATTCTTGATTTAAATTAATTTCATCATCATTAGGTTTCTTAGAAATTCAATTTATAATATCCGTAATCATTCTGTTATATTTTTTGAACTTCTTCATCTTCGCTCTTTGTTCTTAATTATAACAGTAAATAAATTAAACTCAGTGTCTCCTACAAGCAACTTCCTGTTATTAGTATTTAAAAAATAAAAAATATAAGGTCAATTCACTTGTGCATGATCATTTTATAATTTACAAGTCCTTATATATCATAAATATATATAACCAGGATGTAAAGCAATTAAACATAGTAATAAATTGTTACAAAGTAACCCCAAACAATTTTTCGTCTGTTAATATTTAATCTTTAGGCTCATTGTATTCATAATAATTTAAATATCAAGATCCGAAAATATTTATTTTTCTAATGTGAATTTATTACGAAACTAATTAGTTCTTCAGTAGATACATTTATAGTTTCATATATAATTAAATTTCAGGAACTTTTATTAATGTTAATATATTATTTTATTTTTTATTTAAGAAAAAAAAATCATACAGAAAAAATATACGTATTGTTAAATAATTTCAATTAATTGCTCATAAAAATATTTGCCATACAAAACATCACATTTATGTGTATTTGCTCATAAAAAAAATCCACATTATTTGCATTATATAATTTAAAAGGGTTGAATCCTATTATAAAACAATCAGAAATCTAATTCTTTCAAAATAAACTATTTTTTCAATAGGAGTATCATGCTTATAATTATCTTCTTTATTGAATTTTTAAAACTTCTATTATTTCTT